TGTTTATTTGATCAAAAATACAGTAAAAACGGTGAAATATTTTTACAATGTAAATCATCTGTTTTCTATGTGAATATACAGTAAAGTGTAATTTATTCCTGTGATCAAAGCTGAATTTTCAGCATCATTACTCCAGTCTTCAGTGTCACATGATCCTTCAGAAATCACTCTAATATGAGGATCTGATGCTCAAGAAACATTAATGATTATTATCAGTGTAACTGTGATGCATTTTGTTTTTCAGGACTCTTTGATGAATAGAAAGTTCAAAAGAACAGCATTTATTTGAAACAAAATCTTTTGTTACATTATAAATGTCTTTACTGTCACTTTTGATCATTTTAATGTGTCCTTTATGAAAAAAAAAGGATTTTCTTTCAAAAATTAAATGTTTCTCGAGCATCAGATCCTCATATTAGAGTGATTTCTGGAGGGTCATGTGACACTGAAGACTGGAGTAATGATGCTGGACATTCAGCTTTGATCACAAGAATAAATTACACTTTATTATTCACATAGAAAACAGTATTTTATAACAGTACACAGTACAATATTTCACTCTTTTACTGTATTTTGATCAAATAAATGCAGCCTTGGTGAGCAGAAGAAACTCTTTTAAAACATTAAAAAATCATAGTTATTTCAGACTTTCGAGCGCTCGTCTACTTTGAGAAGTGTGTGTTGTATCAGTGATAGGAACAGCACCTGGACGGTGTAGTTGAACTGTCGGATGGTCCGCATGAACCTCAGGTACCCGTCGGTCACTTCTGTGGCTGCGGTGATGACCAACACCTCACCTGAACACACACACACACACACACACTGTTATTATACTGTAATACATCACTGAGTTATACTGAGTCCTGGAGATTCTATTGCCTGATGTCGATTCCTTCAAGCCTGAGTGAGTCAGACAAAGATAACCAACTCAAAAAACACTAAACATCTGCAGAAAATAGTTCATTAGTGCAACAGTTGTGCATTAATGATGTGAAAACCATGAGAAACCATCAGAAACTCAAACCAGTTTCTTCTGTAGAAGCTTCTGGATCTCTGACCGTTTCTCGTGGTTCTGTGGATCTAGAAGCTTCTGAAGGACCTGTTCATATGTAACTTATATTCAATATATTTTGCTTCTGTTTTATGAATGTTTTGAGTCACCATCAACAAATTTACCATGGTAAACAACACAGTTTCAACCAAAACACCACAGTTACTGAATAGTAGGAAGTAATTAAACAGTGTGAGAAGCTTTTTGTCATTTTTAATCACTTCTTTGTGATGACAGTAGATTTAATATCAATTTGTCACATTTTCACAACAAAAGTAGCTGTTTTTGACGCAAACAATAGTTAACATAATGACCTTTTGTAATATACGATCTGGTTTTGGTCTGTTGACGCTGAGATTGAGATTCGGATCGGCGGTTACATTCAGATTCAAATCTGACTGGACATTTAAATGTAAGACTGACAGAGAATTATTTAACGGTTCTTACTGGGTTTCCCGGACCGCGGCTCGGATCGGCAGAGCTGAATGGAGCCCAGAAACAGGATCAGGATCACGCGAACCGCAGTCATCGCGCTCGCTGGTTTCGCTCGGGTTCAGTTCCGTTTTCACGCCGATTCGGTGCAGAACTCTCCCGAAATTCGCGGACGGGGGGCAGGAATTTCACCGTCAACATGAAGATCCGCCTGGTTTCCGCACGGACAGCCAATGACCGCGGAGCAGAAGATGACGGACAGACAAGCAGCCAATAGGAAGAGAGAACGAAATGGCGTTCGACCAATCAGAGTCAGACAAATGGAACGTGATTCTCCTAAAAAAACCAACCCCTTCGGCTACAAAAAGAGATATTGAGGGAGGAGTGCCACGTTTTAGGAATATCTTAACGGGTGTTTCTAAAAAATATATGTAAATCCTATATATATATATATACACACACCAATATATTGTGTTTACATTTACGTGATAACTTCTCTCTTTATCAGTTGTTTATTTAGTTTATTTATCAGGTAAAATATTTAAAGATAGCCTACTACACATTTGATAAAAAGTTTGGACACATTCACTTATTCTTTATTATGACTAATTTCAACAATTTAGAAGAAAATATTAAATTCATGAAAACTGTGAAATTACAGAAAAGAGGTTATTAACCCAATAATCGTTGACATTAATCACTGAGCTTTTGGTGGCACTGCCATAAGCCACTATGTTTCTGTTCACCAATAGACCCCGTGAAACCTTGTAAAAGAGATTTTTACAACCAACCTCCATATATTTAAATCTTGAGATGATCTGAGGTCAGCTGGACAAATACTGTGATTGGAGCTCCTGTTTGTACTCCACATGCACAAAGTAAATATTCATTCACTTCATCAAGCTCAAAGTACACTCACACACTCTCTCACACACACACATCAGGATCTCATTTCTAATGCAAGAGGTAAGAGGAAAATTAACATCTATTTTCAAGTGAAATCCTTGAGCATCTCATGAATTATTAATAATGTTGCAGTAACTGACCATCTAGTCTCTAACAGATTTATTTAGTGAAACTATTCACGGTCTAGACTAACTTAGAGTGAGAAACACTGATTTCACATCACAGCGGTGAAATCAATCAGGGGCATATAGTGAAAATTGTGTGTTTTATGATGTTTTGTTAAAGTATTTCAGAACTTCCTCTAATTTCCTCTAATTTAGACCCATTTCTTCTTAATTTTATTTCTGGCTGTTTGTGGTTCTAGAGTAACTTTGCGATTCTTTGGATGTAAATAAAGTTCTTGATGTTTCATCATATGTTTTATCAGATCAATGTTTAGGTTTCTGGATAGAAAACTATGACCTGAACTAGAGAATCAAACATTATAAAGGTGCTTTTATGATTTCAATCTGTAAAATTCCCCCACAATCATCTAACTGGGACTTTTATTTATTTTCTCTGAAAGTCTAAATCATTTTTAATATGTTAGTATTAGAGTGATTAAATGCGAATTTCCTTTTATTTCTTCTTCCTCTGTGTTGAAAAAATATTTTAACAGAGTTTATGTGCGTATCAAAACCTTTATTGGGGATAATTGATTGTATTTGTGAGTAAATTGGTGTTTGTGTGTTTCTTAACTCTATTTTTCTTCTGATCTACGAAGCCCAGTGGTATAATTAATAACTGAAAAACGTTATATGTGTGGAAAACGAACTATACATAAACTGATGTCTATTAACAAACACACATGAACACATGAGACCGGAAACATGCGTCATCTTTTGCTGCAAATCAAAGTTCAAGTTTGCTGAATTCTGACCTGTGAATTTGCATAAAGCAAAACATTTGACCAACAGAGGATCTGATTCTGAACAGATTGACCTCTTGACTGAATTCAAAGAACACAAGCTTACGGGAAAGTGGCTTAGATGGAATGTGTCTCATATTTTGAATGTACTGATAGTTGTCATTAAATAAATAAAAAACATATTATTCAAAATATACAACAATGAATAGTTATTTATAGTTGGCTGTAATGATGTGCATGTCGAAGGAGATGGTGAACAAAAAAACTCTTTAAAAAATAAACAAGGAACACTCAGGAGATTGCAGGAGAATAAATAACACAATCACGTTAACAAAAGACGATACCGGACAAGGAAACTAAGGAAACACAGGGCTTAAAAACATGGAGAGGGTAATCAAACTGAACGAGAAAATAGGAAATAGGTAGGGGTGTAACGATTATCGAACCGAACCGAAAAACCGCGATACAGAACACACGATTCGAATCGCGATACTCTCATTGCGTACCGAACACGCCCCTCCGCGCCCCCTGCTACCCCGGCTCAATGGATGTCTTGTGTACAGTACACAACGAATTCAGTTTTGTAGCTAACCACCATTAACACCAAATAACAAGCTCCGTGTTTTGTTACTTTCGATAATAAGCAAGGTGTAATCTTTCAAATTTGTCTATTTGATACGAAATTCAAACAATAAATGGCGTTTTGGCGCTCTTTGATGTGGCGTGACAGATCGCTCTATGCGTACTAAGCTCCTCATTTCAAACGGCAATGCGGAGCGCGGGTAAACGCGATCATCTCTTCCTCAGTTACGGAATGGACACCTGAAGGTATGTTGAAAGATGCAGTATACTTACTGAAAGGCATCATAACTCGTGTAATCGCTCAATCAGTGTTTCAGCAGCGGAAAGACGTCAATAAAACAGCATAGCTTGTCACTAGCATTATATTTACCTCAACAGGCAAGTGATTCAGTGTCCACAACTTCCTATAAATGGTTCCTATAAATGAACTCTTGCACTAAATAAATGCACCATGTTAGCCTTTTTTACTTTTTTAAATTTTACTTAACCTGTTAATGATATCTTGATTATTTAATGTATGTTTAAAATATCTTTCATGAAAATGACAACTGTGTAAAGTATTATATTTCAAAAACAAATTAGAGTAAAACACAAGTTAATGCAAAAACTGCCTTATGTTCAGTTTACATGTTTTCATACAATGTGTTGTGTGTTGATTATTATATCTAAAAAATAAATAGCATCTGAATTTAGGTTAAAAGTCTAGGCTACAACCTTTAATGTTATAGTAATGTGCGTCTCCCTATATAGTTTACAGATTTAGCAGATTTTTTTTTAATCCTTGTGAAACGTTTAATTGTAATTTAATTCATTTAAAGACAAAGACAATTTTTTCGTTAAACCACTGTTTAAAAAAGAAAAGGAAAAAAAGAAGCAATTTTAGCTTTCTAAACCGAACCGAATCGAACCGAACCGAGACGTCAAAACCGTGGGAAAACCGAACCGTCAATTTTGTGTATCGTTACACCCCTAGAAATAGGTGTCAGGGACTAAATTCCAATCAAGGAAACTAACTAGGAACTCAGGCAAACAGGAACAGAGTGAAAAATGAAACCAAAACAGAACATAACAGAATATATACGCCACAGTCGTATGTGGAGCCATGTGGATGAAGGTGTGCGGTGGAGCCATAAGGATGAAGGTGTCTGGTGGAGCCATAAGGATGGAGGTGTCCGGTGGAGCCATAAGGATGGAGGTTTCTAGTGGAGCCATAAGGATGAAGGTGTCCGGTGGAGCCATAAGGATGGAGGTGTCTGGTGGAGCCATAAGGATGGAGGTGTCTGGTGGAGCCATAAGGATGGAGGTGTCTGGTGGAGTCGAGGGAGGGAGGAGCCCAGGAGGAGCCAAGGTGGAAGGATGTAGCCAATGGTGGTGGAGCCCAAGGCTAAAACAGAGAGCAGCCGAGACCGAGCAACACCAATGGTCCAAACACAGGGCTTAAATACATGGAGAGGGTAATCAAACTGAACAGAAATAGGTGTCAGGGACTAATTACCAATCAAGGAAGCTAACTAGGAACTCAGGCAAACAAGAACACAGCAAACAGAGTGAAAACGAAACCAAATCAGAACACAACAGAATATATATGCTACAGCCCAACGGAGCTGAAGGGGTGGAGGGGCGAAGCGTAGCTGAAGGGACGTCTGACCATGGCGTACACAGAGGGATGAAGGAGAATGGTGGAGCCATAAGGATGCAGGTGTCCGGTGGAGTCGAGGGAGGGAGGAGCCAAGGTGGAAGGATTTAGCCGATAGTGGTGGAGCCCAAGGCTAAAATGGAGAGCAGATGAGACCAGACAACAGTAATGGTCCTGGAGGCTGGGGCGGAGTGGCAGTGACAAAAGTCTGAGGTGAAGCCAGGGTGCCAGAGGACTGAGGTGAAGACAGTGGGACAGAGGACTGAAGTGAAGCCAGTGGGACTGAGGACTGAGGCGAAGCCAAGGTGCCAGAGGACTGAGGTGAAGCCAGTGGGACTGAGGACTGAGGTGAAGCCAGTGGGACTGAGGACTGAGGTGAAGCCAGTGGGACTGAGGACTGAGGTGAAGCCAGTGGGACTGAGGACTGAGGTGAAGACAGTGGGACTGAGGACTGAGGTGAAGCCAGTGGGACTGAGGACTGAGGTGAAGCCAGTGGGACAGAGGACTGAGGTGAAGCCAGTAGGACTGAGGACTGAGGTGAAGCCAGTGGGACTGAGGACTGAGGTGAAGCCAGTGGGACAGAGGACTGATGTGAAGCCAGTGGGACTGAGGACTGAGGTGAAGACAGTGGGACTGAGGTGAAGCCAGGGTGCCAGAGGACTGAGGTGAAGTCAGTGGGACTGAGGACTGGGGTGAAGCCAGTGGGACTGAGGACTGAGGTGAAGCCAGTGGGACTGAGGTGAAGCCAGTGGGACTGAGGTGAAGCCAGTGGGACTGAGGACTGAGGTGAAGCCAGTGGGACTGAGGTGAAGCCAGTGGGACTGAGGTGAAGCCAGTGGGACAGAGGACTGAGGTGAAGCCAGTGGGACTGAGGACTGAGGTGAAGCCAGTGGGACAGAGGACTGAGGTGAAGACAGTGGGACTGAGGTGAAGACAGTGGGACTGAGGTGAAGCCAGTGGGACTGAGGTGAAGACAGTGGGACTGAGGTGAAGACAGTGGGACTGAGGTGAAGCCAGTGGGACTGAGGTGAAGACAGTGGGACTGAGGACTGAGGTGAAGACAGTGGGACTGAGGACTGAGGTGAAGCCAGTGGGACTGAGGACTGAGGTGAAGCCAGTGGGACTGAGGTGAAGCCAGTGGGACTGAGGACTGAGGTGAAGCCAGTGGGACTGAGGTGAAGACAGTGGGACTGAGGTGAAGCCAGTGGGACTGAGGTGAAGACAGTGGGACTGAGGTGAAGACAGTGGGACTGAGGTGAAGCCAGTGGGACTGAGGTGAAGACAGTGGGACTGAGGACTGAGGTGAAGACAGTGGGACTGAGGTGAAGCCAGTGGGACTGAGGTGAAGACAGTGGGACTGAGGACTGAGGTGAAGACAGTGGGACAGAGGACTGAGGTGAAGACAGTGGGACTGAGGTGAAGACAGTGGGACTGAGGTGAAGCCAGTGGGACTGAGGTGAAGCCAGTGGGACTGAGGTGAAGACAGTGGGACTGAGGTGAAGCCAGTGGGACTGAGGTGAAGACAGTGGGACTGAGGACTGAGGTGAAGACAGTGGGACTGAGGACTGAGGTGAAGACAGTGGGACTGAGGTGAAGCCAGTGGGACTGAGGTGAAGACAGTGGGACTGAGGACTGAGGTGAAGACAGTGGGACAGAGGACTGAGGTGAAGACAGTGGGACTGAGGTGAAGCCAGTGGGACTGAGGTGAAGACAGTGGGACTGAGGTGAAGCCAGTGGGACTGAGGTGAAGACAGTGGGACTGAGGTGAAGCCAGTGGGACTGAGGTGAAGCCAGTGGGACTGAGGACTGAGGTGAAGCCAGTGGGACTGAGGTGAAGACAGTGGGACTGAGGTGAAGCCAGTGGGACTGAGGTGAAGCCAGTGGGACAGAGGACTGAGGTGAAGCCAGTGGGACTGAGGACTGAGGTGAAGCCAGTGGGACTGAGGACTGAGGTGAAGCCAGTGGGACTGAGGACTGAGGTGAAGACAGTGGGACTGAGGACTGAGGTGAAGCCAGTGGGACTGAGGACTGAGGTGAAGACAGTGGGACTGAGGACTGAGGTGAAGCCAGTGGGACTGAGGACCAAGGCGGAGCACAACGGAGCTGAAGGGGTGGAGGGGCGAAGCGTAGCTGAAGGCTCATTTTACCAAGGTGGAGCCAGAGTCAAGTCAAGTCACCTTAATTTATATAGTGCTTTTAACTATATATATTGTTTCAAAAGCAGCTTTACAGTGATAATAGGAAAGTAAAGTAACAGAGATTGTTTAGGCTTTACAGCAGCTCTAGAATAAAGTTATTGTCCAGATAAAGTTAGTTTTGATTGATTCACTTCCGTTGCAAAGCTCATTAGTTATTCATTCTTCATTTGCACAACAATAGTGCCTGGAGCTTGAGAACGCAAGCCTTGAAATAGGTACCAAGGTGCAAGCGATTTTTTTTTTTTTTTTTAATTGTATCATCTCCGCGTAAACTTCAAAAACGTGCATCTGTGTGAACGCTGATGGCGTGCACATGCGTATTATGTGTTCAGTCTATAGATATGAGCGTTTGAATATATATGTGTGCAGGCGTGTAGTCTTTCTTTACAAGTTGACCTCAACAAATTACTTGTCTGGCTACTTGTCTTTGTCGCTTCCGCGTATGTGAACCGGAATCATTTAGAAGAAGAACTAATGTTGTGTGTTTTTGCAGGTCAAGTCTCACTCATCATGAGGGTCGTTACATCAGACAGCGGCTCTGTCTCTGCGGCAAACCACTATACAGACGAGCTGGAGAACCCAGACACCAGTGACGACACTGAGTTCTGGAGGAAAGGTGTGAGACCACATCAAAACCCGAAAAACACATGATAAACATGTTTTAATTCACATATAAAAAGGTTTCTGTGAGTTTTAAGGAAAAGAAAACATCATAAGCTCAGTATAGAAACACTTTACAATAAGGTTGCATTAGTTAACTACATTAGTTAACATGAACTAACAATGAAAAACACTTAGTAATCTTAGTTAATGTTAAAATCATAGTTTGTATCTGTCAATATTATTTAATGGATCTGAGCTCACATGAACTAAAGAACAGTTGTATTTTAATAATGAATGTTAACAAAGATTAATAAACAAATGTATTTCTCATTGTTAGTTAATGCATCAACTAACGGGACCTTCTTGTAAAGTGTGAGAGTCAATGGAAAGACCCCACAAACATACACAAACAAACAAACGTATGTGTGTGTGTTTCTCAAACACTCCTCTGCCACACACACACACACACACACTGGCTGTAGTTTATACAGCTGCTTAATCTCTTCTGACCTTTAACCTCAACGTTTGACACCATCACAGCATACACATTACACACACACAGTTGCAATAATAATTCGAATTATAATTATTGAAATAATAATTAGTACAAGAAACCATTTTTGAGCACACTAATCTTACCCTATATAGATAGAGAGAACCTTATCCTCAGTCGTTGCATTACAAACAGCGTTAACTGCTTATATGAAATGTAATGCGAAGGTTATATAACACAAAGTTACATAGCTACAAAAGTGTACAATATTTTTGTTTTTAAATACAAAAAACATTGTTAGATTTTCTATGATAATAACTTTGTTAGGGATGCAGCGATACCACTTTTTCCAGAACGAGTTCGATAGCGATAATTAGATTTTTTTTTAAAATTCTGTTTATTGAGATACAACCATGCCAGTATAATACGACAATATCATACATTAAAAAGTTAGATCTCTTTTACATAATAATAAATAAAAAAATGTTTTAAAAAAACACAGGCACAGGTCAATTAGGATAGCTACACCTTAAGAAGAGTTGGAAATAATCATGCATAAAGAGAAGCATATCATGATATGAGAGGGGGTAATTTAGGAAAAATAGTAAATTATTAAATGACTAATAACTTAGTAGTACTAACATGCGAGTGAAAATAGGTTGAGAATCAAGTTATCTTATCTCTTTCTACCTCATTAATTATATTACTAAAATCAGAATTTGAAATACAGGATATTTTTTAATTGTACTTTTTTTTTATATTGGGCAGAGAAACCAAACGAATATGAGTCAAATAAGCTGGCTTAGCAAATAGACATTTCATGCCTAATTATGCATGTTACAGTATTGTAGGAGCTACTGTTACTTCATATTATTGCTGTATCGTATTTAATCTTTATTTTAATAACACAGTGAATATTTAGAGCTGCTCCAGCAAGGCTCAATCAATCAAGAGCAGTGATTTGTTAGATTAACATTGAGGACAAAGATAGCAGAAGGTTTATTAGGCTGCTGTCACTTTAAGAGCTGCACGTAAATACTGTTACACACATGTTTTCTATTCAACTGTTTACGTTCACTTAAAGTCCCCCTGTAGTCAATCATTTTATCCCTTAAAACTCATCTTTGATCACCAAAATGACATATTTAAAAGTTTTTTTTCTTCATGCCTTTAAATAGCTTGAATGTAACTCGACACCCTTGCCTCATTTAGTATGCGCGGTTCTATGAATATGCAAATGAGCCCCGCCTCCACTCACTCACTCAGCTCAGAGATCCACTGGTTGACGATCACACGTTGATCTGATTGGTTACAAGCTCGTTTGTGACGTCAGAAACACCAGTGATTTCAAACCGTGTTTTTGAGACTGTCTTTGGTTCACTGCAGTTTTAAGGAGGAAATACTCAGCAATGCTGTCGACTTATGAACTTACACACGGTGTGTCTTAAAGCGTATTAAAAACACCACATAGAACCATAAACAACATTAAACGCTGGATTAGGATACTTGCCTATACGGGCCTTTTGACATAATTTTGTGTGAATTTGTCCAGTCAAGCACAAGAAGACATGAAAGAGAACTCTATTTAATAGAATATTTTGTGTGCTGTCTGAGAGGCAGCTTTCTGGACGCACGCCTCGAATGAGGATCCATAAGTAGAATAACGTGTGTGTGTGTGTGTGTGTTAGACTCGTCTGTGCCCAGGTTTGTAGCAGCGCCCTCTATCGGCCGCTGGCGGTGGCGTGTGTTCGCTGCCATCAGTGTAACGGCTCTGATGCTTCTGTTGCTGATCGTCACAGTATCTGTGAGCCGTGAGTAACACACACTCGAACATATTGTGATATTATACAGACAACATGTTATTTTTCTCATTAATTCCTTAATAATCGGCTTATCGTCAATGTATTAAGGCCAAAATGTAAAAAGAATGCGAAGCATATATCCTATAAGTTTTAACACCATGTGTATATTTTCCAGAGAACTAGCAAACTAGAGTTATCAAAAAACATAATGACGTTTAATTGTTTTCACACGTGTTTTGTCAGACATGAAGTTTGATCGGAAGTTCTCGACTACCGAGACAAACGTGAAGAATCTGACAGAAACGCTCCTGAGCATCATTTCCAGAGCAAACACTCTGGAGGAATACGGTAATGTTAATCTTCATAATCTTTTATCAAAAGTAAAAAATAAACGTTATCCACCCACACTCTCAGCTAACAAAAAAAATGTTCTAATTAAGTTATGAAAACGTGATTTTTGAATTTCTCTAAACGTTTAAAACGTTTTTTTAAAGGGTTAGTTCACCCCCCCCAAAAAAATTCTGTCAGTAGTTACTCTCCCTCATGTCGTTCCAAACCCGCAAGACTTTCGTTCATCTTCAGAACACAAATTATAAGATATTTTTGCAAGATATAGGATGTAAGATATAGACGCCACATGCAGCAATGCATTGCAACTTTCAAGGCCCAGAAAGGTAGGAAAGACATTGTTAAAATAGTCCATGTGACTCCAATGGTTCAACATTAATGTTACGAAGCGACCAGAATACTTTTTGTGCACGAAACCCCCCAAAATAACTACTTTATTCAACAATCTCTGCTTCCACGTCGTTCTCCTACGCTGTTGACGAAGCGCTTCCTGGTTCTACGTCAGAATGCCTGCTCACTATTGGCCGACGCTGGTCACATGAGCACCACGAGTCACGACACATGCGTGTGATGCTGATGCAGGAGCCGGCCAATACTGAGCCAATAATCTTTGGGTGAACTAACCCTTTAATATGGTAAAAAGTTTTTCTGGGTTATGGGAACGTTAAGGGAACATTCCATTTTATGGGAACAATGTTTCATGAAAATTCTGGAACAAGCAGTAAAAAATTAGACATGGAAACACCCCTGAATATTTGAAAAATTATTCATTATTATAACCCTCCCCCCCACACACACACACAACTTTCTTCTCAAATGACATCATCAATCACTCTTATCAACTATTCATTCATATAGACACTTTCACCATATGAAGTTCTTCATGCAGAAAATCAATCATTTTTTCTCTGCCTTGTTTCGACTGCATCACAGTGTAGGAGTAAAACTCTCTGTGAATGGTGTTTCATGTGTCATGCATGTGAGCACGTTCCCCTCCACTACGTTAACACTCGGTCTAATGCGTGTGTGTTCAGGACATAAAATGCATTTGGACATCAGCAATCTGGAGTTCGACCAGGAGAAGATGCAAAGAACGATTAATGATAGTAAGTGCCACACACGCACACATACAGACAGACAAAACACTTGAAATTCAATGAAATCCACTGCAGATCTTAACTGTGTGTGTGTGTGTGTGTGTGTAGTGTCTGATTCAGCACAGGCTCTTCGTGACAAGGTTTCGGATCTAAAATGCCACATTGACAAGTTCATAACCAACAGTAAGTGATGCTGTAGTGTTTGTACTGCTGTATATTGATCTCTCACAGTCTCTGATCTGTGTGTGTGTGTGTGTGTGTGTGTGTGTGTGTGTAGACACACAGGAGCTGTGCTGTCCTGGCGGATGGGTTCTCTTCTCCACAGACTGTTATTTCTTCTCTGAAGACGGGATGCCGTGGGACGCGGCCAGAGACGAGTGTGAGAAGAAGAGAGCAAAGTTACTCATCATAAACAGCAAACAGGAGAAGGTCAGAGCGGATCAGTACTGTACAACTACACAACCAACATCAGACACACAACTGAACTAATACAACTGAACTAATACAACTAAACCAACTTAACTAAACCAGACTCACAACTGAACTAATACAACTAAACCTACTGAACTAAACCAGACTCACAACTGAACTAATACAACTAAACCAACTTAACTAAACCAGACTCACAACTGAACTAATACAACTAAACCAACTTAACTAAACCAGACTCACAACTGAACTAATACAACTAAACCAACTTAACTAAACCAGACTCACAACTGAACTAATACAACTAAACCACCTTAACTAAACCAGACTCACAACTGAACTAATACAACTAAACCAACTTAACTAAACCAGACTCACAACTGAACTAATACAACTAAACCTACTGAACTAAACCAGACACACAACTGGACTAATACAACTAAACCTACTTAACTAAACCAGACACACAACTGAACTAATACAACTAAACCAACTTAACTAAACCAGACACACAACTGAACTAATACAACTAAACCTACTTAACTAAACCAGACACACAACTGAACTAATACAACTAAACCAACTGAACTAAACCAGACACACAACTGAACTAATACAACTAAACCACCTTAACTAAACCAGACACACAACTGAAGTAATACAACTAAACCTACTTACCTAACCAGACACACAACTGAACACAACTAAACCAACTTAACTAAACCAGACACACAACTGAACTAATACAACTAAACCTACTTAACTAAACCAGACACACAACTGGACTAATACAACTAAACCAACTGAACTAAACCAGACACACAACTGAACTAATACAACTAAACCTACTTAACTAAACCAGACACACAACTGAACTAATACAACTAAACCTACTTAACTAAACCAGACACACAACTGAACTAATACAACTAAACCAACTGAACTAAACCAGACACACAACTGAACTAATACAACTAAACCTACTTAACTAAACCAGACACACAACTGAACTAATACAACTAAACCAACTGAACTAAACCAGACACACAACTGAACTAATACAACTAAACCTACTTAACTAAACCAGACACACAACTGAACTAATACAACTAAACCTACTTAACTAAACCAGACACACAACTGAACTAATACAACTAAACCAACTGAACTAAACCAGACACACAACTGGACTAATACAACTAAACCTACTTAACTAAACCAGACACACAACTGAACTAATACAACTAAACCTACTTAACTAAACCAGACACACAACTGAACTAATACAACTAAACCTACTTAACTAAACCAGACACACAACTGGACTAATACAACTAAACCAACTGAACTAAACCAGACACACAACTGAACTAATACAACTAAACCTACTTAACTAAACCAGACACACAACTGAACTAATACAACTAAACCTACTTAACTAAACCAGACACACAACTGAACTAATACAACTAAACCAACTCAACTAAACCAGACACACAACTGAACTAATACAACTAAACCTACTTAACTAAACCAGACACACAACTGAACTAATACAACTAAACCAACTGAACTAAACCAGACACACAACTGAACTAATACAACTAAACCTACTTAACTAAACCAGACACACAACTGAACTAATACAACTAAACCTACTTAACTAAACCAGACACACAACTGAACTAATACAACTAAACCTACTTAACTAAACCAGACACACAACTGGACTAATACAACTAAACCTACTTAACTAAACCAGACACACAACTGAACTAATATAACTAAACCTACCAGACACACAACTGAACTAATACAACTAAACCAACTTAACTAAACCAGACACACAACTGAACTAATACAACTAAACCAACTGAACTAAACCAGACACACAACTGAACTAATACAACTAAACCTACTTAACTAAACCAGACACACAACTGAACTAATACAACTAAACCTACTTAACTAAACCAGACACACAACTGAACTAATACAACTAAATCTACTTAACTAAACCAGACACACAACTGAACTAATACAACTAAACCAACTTAACTAAACCAGACACACAACTGGACTAATACAACTAAACCAACTTAACTAAACCAGACACACAACTGAACTAATACAACTAAACCACCTTAACTAAACCAGACACACAACTGAAGTAATACAACTAAACCTACTTACCTAACCAGACACACAACTGAACACAACTAAACCAACTTAACTAAACCAGACACACAACTGAACTAATACAACTAAACCTACTTAACTAAACCAGACACACAACTGGACTAATACAACTAAACCAACTGAACTAAACCAGACACACAACTGAACTAATACAACTAAACCTACTTAACTAAACCAGACACACAACTGGACTAATACAACTAAACCAACTTAACTAAACCAGACACACAACTGAACTAATACAACTAAACCTACTTAACTAAACCAGACACACAACTGAACTAATACAACTAAACCTACTTAACTAAACCAGACACACAACTGGACTAATACAACTAAACCTACTTAACTAAACCAGACACACAACTGAACTAATATAACTAAACCAACTTAACTAAACCAGACACACAACTGAACTAATACAACTAAACCAACTTAACTAAACCAGACACACAACTGAACTAATACAACTAAACCAACTGAACTAAACCAGACACACAACTGAACTAATACAACTAAACCTACTTAACTAAACCAGACACACAACTGAACTAATACAACTAAACCTACTTAACTAAACCAGACACACAACTGAACTAATACAACTAAATCTACTTAACTAAACCAGACACACAACTGGACTAATACAACTAAACCTACTTAACTAAACCAGACACACAACTGAACTAAAACAACTAAACCTACTTAACTAAACCAGACACACAACTGAACTAAAACAACTAAACCTACTTAACTAAACCAGACACACAACTGGACTAATACAACTAAACCTACTTAACTAAACCAGACACACAACTGAACTAATATAACTAAACCTACTTAACTAAACCAGACACACAACTGAACTAAAACAACTAAACCTACTTAACTAAACGAGACACACAACTGAACTAAAACAACTAAACCTACTTAACTAAACCAGACACACAACTGAACTAATACAACTAAACCAACTGAACTAAACCAGACACACAACTGAACTAATACAACTAAACCACCTTAACTAAACCAGACACACAACTGAACTAATACAACTAAACCACCTTAACTAAACCAGACACACAACTGAACTAAAACAACTAAACCAGACACACAACTGAACTAATACAACTAAACCTACTTAACTAAACCAGACACACAACTGAACTAAAACAACTAAACCTACTTAACTAAACCAGACACACAACTGAACTAATACAACTAAACCAACTGAACTAAACCAGACACACAACTGAACTAATACAACTAAACCACCTTAACTAAACCAGACACACAACTGAACTAATACAACTAAACCACCTTAACTAAACCAGACACACAACTGAACTAAAACAACTAAACCTACTTAACTAAACCAGACACACAACTGAACTAATACAACTAAACCTACTTAACTAAACCAGACACACAACTGAACTAAAACAACTAAACCTACTTAACTAAACCAGACACACAACTGAACTAATACAACTAAACCAACTGAACTAAACCAGACACACAACTGAACTAATACAACTAAACCAACTGAACTAAACCAGACACACAACTGAACTAATACAACTAAACCTACTTAACTAAACCAGACACACAACTGAACTAATACAACTAAACCAACTGAACTAAACCAGACACACAACTGAACTAACACAACTAAACCACCTTAACTAAACCAGACACACAACTGAACTAAAACAACTAAACCTACTTAACTAAACCAGACACACAACTGAACTAATACAACTAAACCAACTGAACTAAACCAGACACACAACTGAACTAATACAACTAAACCAACTGAACTAAACCAGACACACAACTGAACTAATACAACTAAACCAACTGAACTAAACCAGACACACAACTGAACTAATACAACTAAACCACCTTAACTAAACCAGACACACAACTGAACTAATACAACTAAACCTACTTAACTAAACGAGACACACAACTGAACTAAAACAACTAAACCTACTTAACTAAACCAGACACACAACTGAACTAATACAACTAAACCAACTGAACTAAACCAGACACACAACTGAACTAATACAACTAAACCTACTTAACTAAACCAGACACACAACTGAACTAATACAACTAAACCACCTTAACTAAACCAGACACACAACTGAACTAACACAACTAAACCACCTTAACTAAACCAGACACACAACTGAACTAAAACAACTAAACCTACTTAACTAAACCAGACACACAACTGAACTAATACAACTAAACCTACTTAACTAAACCAGACACACAACTGAACTAAAACAACTAAACCTACTTAACTAAACCAGACACACAACTGAACTAATACAACTAAACCAACTGAACTAAACCAGACACACAACTGAACTAATACAACTAAACCAACTGAACTAAACCAGACACACAACTGAACTAATACAACTAAACCACCTTAACTAAACCAGACACACAACTGAACTTATACAACTAAACCTACTTAACTAAACCAGACATACAACTGAACTAATACAACTAAACCAACTTAACTAAACCAGACATACAACTGAACTAATACAACTAAACCAACTGAACTAAACCAGACACACAACTGAACTAATACAACTAAACCACCTTAACTAAACCAGACACACAACTGAACTAATACAACTAAACCTACTTAACTGAACCAGACATACAACTGAACTAATACAACTAAACCAACTGAACTAAACCAGACACACAACTGAACTAATACAACTAAACCAACTTAACTAAACCAGACACACAACTGAACTAATACAACTAAACCTACTTAACTAAACCAGACACACAACTGAACTAATACAACTAAACCTACTTAACTAAACCAGACACACAACTGAACTAATACAACTAAACCTACTTAACTAAACCAGACACACAACTGGACTAATACAACTAAACCTACTTAACTAAACCAGACACACAACTGGACTAATACAACTAAACCTACTTAACTAAACCAGACACACAACTGGACTAATACAACTAAACCTACTGAACCAAACCAGACACACAACTGAACTAATACAACTAAACCTACTGAACTAAACCAGACACACAACTGAACTAATACAACTAAACCAACTGAACTAAACCAGACACACAACTGAACTAATACAACTAAACTGAACTAAACCAACTTAACTAAACCAAACACACAACTTAACCACACAACTTTGTTTACAGCTGTTATTAAGATGTGTTTTGGTTGATCGAGTCACAAGTGAAGGATGCTAATTACAAAACGGGGTCTAAAATGACTTGAGCTTGTCCACTTTCGACTACTTCCAGAGATATTGGAAAAGCATACGATCAGATTGCTTTCATATTGTAAACGCTCATGTGGTCAAATGCGTTCGAACAGCCACTTAAAGACCACTGACTGACCTAACGCGTAAAGGTTATGAGAAGCGCGCTAGCCAGACGGGATTTAAACTTTGTTGACTGAAGACCCAAGTTTGGTTTGAAGCATAGACTGTAAAAAAAAACAAGTGTAGTGTGCGTGACGTCACCTGTAGTGTTTCTGAAGCAAAGTTTGAAGCCCAAAGTGGGCGGAGCCGGCCGTCGCCATCTTGGCAGGGTCACTCCCGGATAAATGAACATATGCAGCGAGGCGGATTAGCTGAGGTGACGTGACGCTAACACACAGCAGACAAACGGCTAGCAGTGACATCAGCGGCAATCCACCTGTCACTCAAGTGGCCACGCCCTTAATTATGCAGAACTGTAAGGCCTAATATAATTTAAACGGATGAGTTATAAAAAAATTCACCCCTCTCACAGTCGTCATGAAGGGCAACATTAGCGATATAGACCAAAACCACTTTTTGCACCAGACTGTAAACATGTTTATTTCTGCTGTAAAGTTGTGCATTTTAACATGCGGGTCTATGGGATTGAGTCTCTTCTGCAGCCGGCCTCTAGTGGCCAGTGGAGGAACTGCAGTTTAACTCACTCAGTGTTGATTCAAGAGAGACCGGAAGGTTGGCGCTTGTTTTGAAGATGAAAAACACACCAATAGTCTCTCTTCATTCCTGATTTCTAACACACACAGAGATCTCGCGGCTCTCAGAGCAGAAACTAAAGCCGCTCTGTGTGTCTCCGGGCGCGTTCGTATGTAAATCGCACCAGCTTATTTCATCCATTAGATCAAAAGATCTGAAAAAGCCCGTACATAGACCCTCCCCTCGAAGAAATCAGGACAGAAGTGGCTGAAGGTGGACAGAAGAGACTAATTAAAACACCAGGTGTAGACAGGATTGTCTCCCTCGTCCACTCGTGATCCGGTCAACCAAAACTCGTCTTAATACAGGTGTAAACTGGGCCTAAACCAACAACACAAGACGTGCATCTAAACCAGCAAACCGTCCATCATTTAGTAATAAAGAGTGATAGTCAGAAGTGTGTGTGCAGAGCTTCGTGGTGAGCAAGACCAGGCCTCTGTTCTACTGGCTGGGTCTGAGCGACGGCCGCACCGGAGACTGGGAATGGCTGGACGAGACGCCGTATGTGCATGTCAGGAGGTGAGTGTGTGTGTGTGTGTGTGTGTGTGTGTGGGTAGGTTTATGAGTCGGGTTAGTGTGTGTGTGTGTGTGTGTGTGTGCGTGATGGGTATAGGTTCAGGGGTTGGGTTAGTGTGTGTGTGTGTGTGTGTGTGTAGTTTGTAGGTTTAGGAGTCGGGTTAGTGTGCGTGTGTGATGGGTAGGTTCAGGGTTTGGCTGTGTGTGTGTGTGTGTGTGTGTGAGTAGGTTTAGGAGTCGGGTTAGTGTGTGTGTGTGTGTGTGTGTGTGTGTGTGTGGTTTGTTGGTTTAGGAGTCGGGTTAGTGTGTGTGTGTGATGGGTAGGTTCAGGGTTTGGCTGTGTGTGTGTGTGTATGTGTGTGTGTGTGTGTGTGTGTGTGAGTGATGGGTAGTTTCAGGGTTTGGCTGTGTGTGTGTGTGTATGTGTGTGTGTGTGTGTGTGTGTGTGTGTGTGTGTGTGTGTGTGTGTGTGTGTGTGTGTGTGTGTGTTGGGTAGAGTTAGTGTAGGGGGATAGAATACAGTTTGGACAATATAAAAATCATTACACATATGGAATGTCCTCACAAGTATAGCAAAAAAACCTGTGTGTGTGTGTGTGTGTGTGTGTGTGTGTGTGTGTGCAGTGAATGGATGCCAGGCCAGCCTGATGACTGGAAGAATCACGGTTTGGGCGGCGGTGAAGACTGCGCTCACTTCCACTACGACGGGCGGTATAACGACGACCACTGCTCTCGCCGCTACCGCTACGTCTGCAAAGCTCACGCGTCCTCCATCTGACGACACACACTTCATCAAACCAACACAACACAGCAATGTGCGTGTTAACTGTAGAATGTTTCATATTTAACGATATTAAAGGCTTTAACCCTCATCCTTCCCTCGCACTTTGTAACACATCTTTCCCTCGCGGGTCAAAATGACCCAAAGCCCTAAAATTATACTTCATTTTTAAAGCTTAAAGCTTATTTTATTTCATTTTGATCATATTTCTTCTATTTTTTATGGAAATTTTTAGGAGATTTTTTGTTATTTTTTCTCAGTTTATCTTCAGTGTGCATTCAGATACACATGTAGACATTATACAATCATTTTATGGTAAAGTTTTAGCATTTTTAGTTTGAATTTTGAACATTTTTATGTTTTTCTATGTGAACTGAAGCATCCCACTCATTCCTAAGGGGCTCGACTCGACCCGAGAGGGAAGGATTCGTTACTTTTTCAAATTTCAACCACAAAACTCCTCGAATCCATTAAAAAAGTTTTTGTGTGTGTATTCGTGGTTCAAGTGCGACAACAGTCCTGGGGTCTCAAAACCCCTCTGATGAACACTCAATTTTTTGAACAATCAACTAAAAAATGAGTTTCGGGTCAAAATGACCGGAGGGACGGATGAGGGTTTACTGTATATCAGACCAGAAACACTTTCTTTATGCTTCGTTTTTATTTTATGCTGATCAGTTTTGGGGAATGACAGTGTGTTTTAGTTTATTTCCCCATGGTGTCCGAGGATAAAAGTCAAACAGCTGTGATACAAAAAAGTTGTTCTGAAATAAAAGCATCGTCTGAACAAATAAAAGAAATGTTGTTTCTGCAGCACTTAATAAAAATATTCCAGTTATGTTGCTGTATTAAAGTTATATGACTATATTATAGTATGATACTGTACATCAGTGTCATTAATGCTGTAATGTTTGGATTGTAAATGTAAATGATGTAAATACTGCGGTAATTTTGCACTATTGAAGGTGAATATGTACATGCTGCATCAGAACGTTTCCACAAATACGTCATATACATTTGCTTTAGATAAAATATATATGAAATCATGTAAATTGTTCCATCTCAAAAGTTTGTTCAGGTTTAAAATATATGTTTATTTATTTTTTCAGTGCAATATATCAATCAGTTATTAATTATTATGAGCAACACTACATTTAAAGAGACAATTATGTTATAATAAAAAATTATACACTTAATATGACAAATATGCAAGAATTTTCACTAAATATGATCACTGATTACACTACCCATTTGGGGTAATATTTTATTTTTATGAAAGAAATTAATACTTTTATTCATCAAGGACACATTTAATTGATCAAAAATGACACTAAATACATTTATAATGTTACAAAAGATTCTATTTGAAATAAGTGCTGTTCTTTTGAACTTTCTTTTCCTTTCATCATTGAATCCTGGAAAATAAAACGTATCACAGTTACATTAATGATCAAGAAACATGTATGATTATTATCAGAGTGATTTCTGAAGGATAATGTGACACTGAAGACTGGAGTAATGATGCTGAAAATTCAGCTTTGATCACAGGAATAAATTACACTTTACTGTATATTCACATAGAAAATTACTGAAGTGGATTAGGGCCAAGCAAAAAAAAAAAAAAAAAAACATCTTGAGATTAAAGTCATTATAATGCGAGAACATTTTTTTGAGAAAAAAAGTCAAAATACAATGTTGAGAATAAAGTCATTAAATTTCGAGAATAAAGTCGTTGTGTTTCGAGAAAAATCTTGTTAAATTTTGAGAGAAAAAAGTTGAAATAAAATGTTGAGAATAAACTCATTAAATTTCGAGAATAAAGTCGCTCTTTCGAGAAAAAACATGTTAAATTGAATAAAAAAGTTAAAATAAAATTTCGAGAATAAAGTCGTTGTTTCGAGAAAAAACTCGCCCAATTTCAAGAAAAAAAGTTGAAATAAAAAGTTGAGAATAAACTCATTAAATTTTGTAAATAAATTCGCTTTCGAGAAAAATATTGTTAAATTCTGAGAAAAAATGTTGAAATAAAATGTTGAGAATAGACATTAAATTTTGTGAAAAAACGTTTAAATAAAATGTTGAGAATAAACATTAAATTTCGAGAATAAAGTCGTTGTTTCGAGAAAAAATTTGTCAAATTTCAAGAAAAAAAGTTGAAATAAAATGTTGAGAATAAACTAATTAAATTTCGAGAATAAAGTCGCTTTTTCGATTAAAAACTTGTTAAATTTTGAGAAAAAACTTTTAAATAAAATGTTGAGAATAAACATTATATTTCGAGAATAAAGTCGTTGTTTCGAGAAAAAACTTGTTAAATTTTGAGAAAAAAAGTTGAAATAAAACGTTGAGAATAAACTAATTAAATTTTGTGAATAAATTCGCTCTTTCGATAAAAAACTTGTTAAATTGAATAAAAAAGTTGAAATAAAATGTTGAGAACAAACTCATTCAATTTCGAGAATAAAGTCGTTGTGTTAGGG